CTACTTGACAATGAAATGAGGCGGAACCAGTTTTTCGGACGGAGAACGTTTCTACCAGTGAGAGGAGAAAGGGTTAGATCCAATACAGTTTCGCACACAGCCCGTCCCGTCTCCTCCGCATCATTCTCTCGCACTACATATCACAGAACTGATGCTGTCAACAGTGGATAAATCCTGCGCGAAAATCGCGTGTCTTCCCCAATGATCTCTCCATTTTCTAATTCCACAGATGCTGTTTTAGGTAAAGTGGATAATCTGAACAATGATGGACAAATTTTAATATGGATGTACCCAAGGTTATCTCCACTGAATAGTGGTGATTTGTGGATTTTTTTTAACTGTGGTTTTCTAAAATAGCTGTGATAAGATAAATAACAATTTTCCTTGTAGTTACTTACACGTTAATAGAAAACGAAAATGAAAACAAAGGTGTAGTTATTTGTTTTCCTTGCGCTTCACTCTTGTATATGGAAAGCACCAACTACGTGCGGCATGAAACGGTAATGCTAAGTGAATAAGTTGTTCAGATATTCTGGCAGTTTTAGCTAATGCAGCATAATTGCACTGATGTGATATAACGTGAACTTTGAAAAATGTCCAGGTACTCAAGGAAAGGACCTGTGAGCACTATATATTACATTGTTATGCTTTATAATTTTAGCAAAGAGCCACTTAGATAATGCACATTCAAACAGATTGTATAGCTTGGAATATGAATACAGAAAAAAGGAACAAAAGTATAAAAGTTAGTGACAAAAAAAAATTCTCTTTCCCAGAAAAGTTGGTCTTTGCATCTGCCTCCCAACTAACGCAGATCACCTCTTTTTTTGGAATAAAAAAAATTTCCAGGCCTAACAATAATATACATTATTATTGAACTTCAGTAAAACAAACCATTTTAACATGTTTCATGCTGAGGATTAAGCCTAAATATAGGAAGGAGGATAAGGAGAGTGTTCCAAAACCACTTTTGGGTCAACAGATATTGAAAAGGGTTTTGAAGGTTAGCAGGGATGTAGCAAACCAGAAAGAATTTAAGGAGACAAAAGTTCCAAAGAATGGGCAAGATGTCCAAAGGTTTTTCTACTACTAGTGAAACAAATAACCAGAAAGAAGGAACATGGTGTAGAGTTGAGTGCTGAGCAGATAGAAACATCATCTTGAGCAAACTGCTTATATGAGAACAATAATGCCATGGAGAAATTTCAAAATGACTATGAAGATGTTAAAATGAATACATTGAGGAACAGAGGGCTAATAGAAATCATAAAGACTAACAGCAATAGTTGAACAGGATTTAGTGTGGAACAGGAAGTGTTTGTACCTCAGAACAATATGAAAGCATAGAAGAGATCATTCAGCCCATTTTGTCTGTGCCTGCTCCTTGTTACAGCAATCAATAACTAATCCCACTGCCAGGCTCCCTTTCTCCCTGTGGTCACAATGCTTTTCTCTCAAAAAAGTTTATCCATATTTTATTGAAGGAAGTATTGGTCTCTGCCAGAATGGCAAGTTATTCCTACTACACAAGCTGTGATGATTTTCACCTTTTAAGTCTTTTTTCTCACTCATATTGATGAGTTCTTATCACTCAGATAGAACCAGAACAATTCATTGTACAGTATCCAACCACCTATTTTTAAAGACTTCTGTTGAATCTCCTCTTAATCATCTTTGTTCTTGCTGAAGTAGGTTCAGGATCTCAAGTTGGCTAAATCAAAATGGAGTTGGAAGGAGAGATAAAGCACTCCACACAACACTTCCTCGCCCACCCTGGAGTGCCGACCTCGCTCTAAAGGCATCATGATGATCTCTTTTAATTGATAACACCTGTAATTGCTAGAATATAAGAGTTAGAAATAGGGTGGTCAAAGCAGAAAAAATAGGTCCCATGACAGACATGATTCTTGTGAAGACTGATGTGGAAATAACAACATGTTAGATTAACGTCTGGTTTTACCAATCCTTGTGAGTTGTTTTTTAATTGGAAAGAAATTCATGAGGGAAGAGAACTGGCCTAGTTTCTGATATGCACTCCTAGAAAGAATGTCTCTTCACTACAAGCACTTTAGATGCTTTCTACATCATATTGTGATTTGAAGCTGGACAGAGGTTGAATTAGGATGATTAGAGAAAACACAGGGGCCAGAGGGAGTTAAGGCAGCTGAAGGGAGCATTTCCATTTTGGAGATTAAAAAACTTAAAGATTTTTGCAACTGACATAAATTTGAAAATGATGGGGACAAGTAGCTTGATTGAGGTGCTTAATCATGAAAATATTTGTTTTAGATTTTTTTTTGTGTCCAGCATGATTCCCATTATGAAATGACTGTAAGGCTATGGTGCAACTTTCTTTTGCACAAGTACTATGATACTACTTAGTGTCAATTTGCCTTATTTGGTTGCATTCCAATCTCTGGATTAGAATGTTGTGTTACAATTTCATTTTCGGACTTGCACGTTTAATTTAGACTGACTATTTCAGTGCAGCATTGAATGAGTGTCACTTTATTGATAGTGATGTGGCAGTAAACCAAGGCCATGTTTAGCTAATCAGGTGAATGGAGGAGGTCACATGGCACAATTTGACAAAAACATCAAGAATAAATTAATTGGTGATTCACCTGATTTGTTGTTTGTAAAAACTTCTTGTGTGAAAACTATTCCTTTCATTTGCCTAAGTAATACTTTATATATATTTCAATGTGGAAGATACTAGAGTATTTGTTAAATAATCAGAAAATAAAATATCATGAGATGAACAAAAGGACAAGTTAGTCACCATGGTTTTCTAAAAGGTCATGCTTATTTGATGATAGACCAAAGATGATCAAGTGGATGCGATATACATGGATTTTCAAAGACCTACAATAAAGTACCACATGACAGCAGATTATCTGCTGTGTGGTATCACTGATCTGCATGCACTAAATACAAGAAGACATAAACTGATTTGCAAAATAGGTGCTAAATGGCAAATGAAAATCAATGTAGTAAAATGTACCTTAAATCATGGAAACACAGTTGAGTTTTTAAAAATTAACTTATCTAAATATTGTAGAATGTTACATGACTTATCTTTGAAAGATGAGTGAAAAACATTGCTAAATATTTCATGGAATGAAATGGCTTGAGGAGTCCCGGTTAGAATAAATTGTGCATAGTCTATGAATGGAACAATCTTAATAAGTCAATACGTTCTTGTCTTTTTTAATGCTTTACATTGATCTAATATTATCCCCTGATGCTGTCTAATTTCATGTCTCCAGGAATTTGTTGTCCCAGTATCCAGTTCCATATTGTCAAAATTACCTGTTCTCCATTATCTAGTTGCATGTTCTCTGAATTCACTGTTTCCTGGTACCTACACCTATGTCCTCAGAATTTAGTCTTCTCTGGTTTATATTCGTATGCTCTCTGAATTTACTGTACACTGTTATCCAGTACCCTGTCCTCTGAATTTACTGTCCAGTCATCCAGTACCATGTCCTCTGAATTTACTGTCCAGTTATCCAGTTCCACATCCTCTGAATTTATTGTTCACTGTTATCTGATCCTATGTCTTCAGAATTTACGATTCTTGATTTCAATTCATGTTCTAAAAATTTTACTGTCCCCTACTTTCTAAACCTTTGCTTTCAGAACTAATTGATCTTTTATATCATTTGCATAAAGCAGTCACCGGTGCGGGTATCGTTTCCTCGTTTCTAATCTAATGTCTCAGAATTTTCATTCTTCTGGTGCCTAATCCTGCGTACACCTCGACGATCACACCGGTTACTGGTATCTAAAACAATTTCCCCAGCTTTCAGCGCTCGTTTCACACAGCATCCTGTGTTTAGGGTAGCTGGGAGATGCAGTGAGATTGAGAGTTCTTTCTCCTCCAGTGCTCTCAGCGGGGAAATGTGACAGCATCAATACTGATTTGATCTATCGTATTTTAATCCAATCCGTCGGTAGGAATGGGTTGGTATATGCTTTTATTATATCTAGCCGCTTCGTCAGTAAAAATAAAAAACAATAGTCTCATGTAACTTCTGGTAATGCCGCCGCTCTGGAAAGCGTTCGAGCGAATGTGTATCTCTTACACTTCGCTCTTCTGGGATAGAAATCGAGGTTCGATCTGATGTTAGTCTCTTGCCGTCTTGCATCTTCGGCAGTGAAACTTGATCTGCTCCGATACAGTGTCAGAAAATTCGGGTTGCAGTGTGGCTGGCTCTGAGGGCGCAATCTCTCCCAGCCTCGGACAGCAGATGGAAGGAGCTTGGATCTGATGGGAGTTTTCCCTCCCGTTACCCGCTGAGCTGTGCTACCTGCGGCCGCCGCCGCTAACCGGGTTGAGGCGGGCATCCTGGCTGTGAAGACGCAGGAGACAAGCTGCCGACAGCTCATTTTCTCAAATCGCTTGTAGGGGCGACGGCACCGGCATCGGATGTTTGCTCTCCCCACCCACTCTTCCCCCGGCTCTCAGTCCAGGAGAGGAGAGCTTGGTGCTAACGTCGGGATGTCTTATGCGGTATGCATCCCAGTCCAAACCGAGCCGAGGGCCCATGTGCATATATCTTCCGCGCGGTGTCTCAGGCTCCACGCTGAGCTCCTGGGTTTGAGCTGGGTCCGGATTTGCGGGGAGGGAAGGGGCGGACGGTCTGGAGGTTCTCAGGTTTGTTTTTTTTGGGGGGGGGATGGAATCTCAGTCCAGTACGTGGGGGTGGGGCAGAGATCCCGGCCGTTCACGCCGCTTCAAACTCTCTCGTCGTTTCCAACATCCCCTCCCCTCAAAACACACACACCCCCAACCCTCACTCCTTCCCTCTTTCCGTCCCACTCCCTCCTCATCTCCTCTCGCCGACTTTCCTCGCCCCGCTCGCCTCGCCTCGCCTCTCAGCCGCCAATATCCCGGCGGGCCAATCAGAGGTAGGCGCGGAAGCCCACGTGACGGCCCCGGTGTCGGGGCCGCTCCAATCAAAGGCGAGGAAATGCCTGAGAAAAAGCCGGCGCGCGCCCGGGCGGCTCATCAATAACAAGTTTCCGAGCGCGAGGGGAGAACACAGACACAGAGGCAGAGGGAGAGCGAGCTGCCAACCGTCAACCGACCGCGAGAGCGCGAGCGCCCAGCCCAGCCCGGCCAGCCCCAGATACACTGACAACCACACACACACACACACACACACACACACAGGGAGAGACGAGGGTCTACAGCCGCGGAGGAGCCTTCGCCGCAACCATCACCGCCGCTGGACACACATGTGGTGGTGCTGCTTGCTGCGTCCAGGATGCGTGATGTGCCCTGTGTAAGATGGTGGGGTCGGAGAGCCTGGGATTGAGCCGAGCTCCGCGATCCGCCGCCGCCTGTCGACATGGTGGAGTCCCACCCGCCAGGCTGGCCACCTCTTCACCCGGACCACCGCGCGGGCTTGCTGCTGGCGATGCTGACCCTGTCCATGCTCCCCGTCCAACTCTCTGCTTACCCCACCTCCCTGAGCGACTGTCAGACACCCACCGGCTGGAACTGCTCGGGTAAGGGCAATGTATGGTGCCAACCAGGATGGAGGGGACGGGGGTGAGGGAAGGGGACGGGGGAGAGGGTTTAGAGAGGGGCCGGGGGGGTGGTGCTGGTGGTGGAGAAGTCTCCTTTTAACTTCCAGTCGCCAGCACGACCCGGGCACTGATGCTGAAAGTTAGTCTGTGGTTGACTGGCTTGCTGATGGCTTCAGGTGAAGTATTGCAAAGATGTTGCAGACGAGCGTCTGGGTTTGGAAAAAGACTGCAAGCGGAGCGTTTCTACCCAGTGTTCCGAAAAGTGCACAGCATTTCTCCGCGGATGTTATCTGATCTAAGAATTTCCAACATTTTCCTTTTTTTTAACTGAATTTGATTTATTCTGGGGATTTTTATTCGGGGTAGTGGTGATTGTTCCCCCGCAGCCTCCACCTTTGCGTTGGTCATTTTATATGTGCACGCTGCTTTCCCTGCCTGTTTCTCCCCCATCCCTGAACTTAAAAAAAAATTGATTGCGGGGAGCGAAAGCCCTGGGTGCTACCCTCGAAAGCATCCAGACACCAGCCGGATTTAGCGACTGTTTCTTGCAGCAGATCTTCAGCGCCCCGCAGAAGCCGGGATGTGAGAAGGATGGAGAGCTGCATGGGGTAATGTGAGAAATAAACTGCATGTTCTAATGCAAAATAAATTGGTTCTTCACCCCCACCCCTCGTAGTTGATATTTTATGTCGCAATCCCACAAAAAAACTGGGCTGCTAGCGATTTTTGTCCGCGGGTTCAGACTTGCGATTAACCACAACTCCAGTGGCAAGATTTAGGTCATCAATATTCGTTAGAAACAGACAATGACAGCCTTTCACTTAAAAAAAGAGAGCCTTCTCTATCTTGTTGCAACTTGATCATGTCACCTCTAGAATCCTGCCCTTGCGTGGATATGTTTGTGTACGTGTGTGTGATATATTTGGGTGTAAATGAAGCATTTATTCATTAAGAATTAGACACCAAGAAGGCGATCGGATAAAGCGTGAGGGAAGAGCACCGCAGATGTGGAGTGGTGAAATTCAATTTAAAGATACAGTGGCGTGTTCAGAGGCAACTGCATTTTTTGGGCTTGAATGATGTTTCCAAACGCTGCTGTGGGATTGTCTTTCGCAACTCTTGGCCGTCACGACAAGGCTGCAAATCTGCCCAGAAAGACCTCTACCATCCAAGAGGGAGAATGCCCCCTACCCCAGCAAATACTCGGGGACAAAGTAGATGACAAACCCTTTCCAGCTTCTTATTTTATAGACCGATGCCTTCCATCTGCTAACGAAAAAGGTTGGCGTCTGATCTTCAACAGCCACCCAAGTTCTGTCAGTACTTGTCTTTTCTCTTTCTCTTTTTAATATTTCAAGGTTTTGATGACCGAGAACACGACTTGTTTCTTTGCGACATTAATGCGTGTCAGTTTGGTGGGGAGTGTTTGCGGATCGGAGAGACGATAACCTGCGACTGCCAGCTCAAGGTAAACGAACAACATCGCTGGTTCTGCTTTCTTATGGCTGCTGTTTTAATGGGGCTCCGTTTAGTCTGGGTGAACTGGGAAAGTCTACAGTCTGTCCTGCTGGGAATGTGTGCAGCGTGGACCTTGCAGAAAGTCTGGCAGATCCTTATCATGAATTGTTTCTATTTTAGTGCAGCACTGATTATGTGCCAGTGTGCGGCTCCAATGGCTATACCTACCAGAACGAGTGTTACCTGCGACAGGCTGCGTGCAAACAGCAAAGTGAAATAAAGGTGCTGGGGGAAGGATCTTGTCCCAACGGTATGCATACTATATTATGCATTATAACAACTATCATGCGCTTTTAAACTTGGTTTTTTTAATCAGTTCATAAAATAATTCAGATTATTTGGCGTGATTTTATTTGCAAGGAGTTTCTGCATGGACAGGCTGAGGCAACAGCCATGGCTCGTTATCACGTTTCAAAGCTATTATTGAAGCGTACTGAACGGAAATGGGAACTGGAAGTACACAGTATTAGGCACTTAATCACCATTCCACCCACAATGAAATACATTCGTGTTACTGAGAGGGCATTTGGACATTTGTTCTTCAGTTTAATTCTCTCATAGTGGACAATAAAAGCTGTATGCATAGATTTCAACAATAGACTACAACCAGTGTTAGAATGAAGAAAAAATCCTGTAAGAAAAATCCCTGTCATATTATTGTGCCTTCTAATTAGATCTTGTCTCTCTACAGATATGGGATCAGGTTCTGGAGATGGAGGTAAGTGCCTATCGTAAATGTATTTTTAATCTAATCATAGAATTGTTATAAACGCTACCATGTCATCTTTAGATGATGCATCTTATGACATCAAGTTATTTTCCCCTCTACAGTTTTTCTCCTTTTATTTTACTTTAGATGCTGTTTGCTTTCTGGCAACCTGCTTTAGCTGCAAGGGCTAGACAGTCTGGGCTACTCTGCAACAACAGGCAATGTTACTGCATAATAGGTGGACAGGAGTGGACCTGAATTGGGTATAGCTGAGTGACAGAGTTTTGTTTTCCTTCCCTTCATTCAATAAATGTTGAGCACTGCTGAACAAAACTGAAGCACATTCTAATGATATGCTCAATTCTGAGACTTTAACCCTCAGCCCTCGAGTTTAGAGGAGGCTGTTCTTACACTTATGCAATGTCCAGTGAAGTATACAGGTGAAACCTTGCAAAATTGACTACTTACTGAAAATAGAAAACTGAAATGTTAGTATATTCTCAATGACAGTTCGCAATATGGCGAAAATCCTGTGGCTTAATGCTATCATAGAACAATCAAGCGCGGGAGGAGGCTATACAGCCCATCGTGCCACTGTTGATTCTTTTGTAGACCTGTGCTATTTATCTCACCTCCGGAGGTTTATTCATAATTTCAAGTTTTCTGTATCTTTGTTATTATTAGTCTGAGGAGCAATGCTCCTTTTATATTACATTTTACTGCAATTAAATCTATTTATGTGTATATTCATTATTTGAATATTGGATTACACTCATCAGAAGACATTCCTCAGCCTTTGGCATTTTGGAGGTCTAAGCTCCATAGAGATCTGTGTGCTTTTCATGTATCAAAAATGAACTTTGACCATTTGAATTTTGGAGAAATATAAATACATATAAAGTTAGTAGGAACAATCAGAAATGAATCTCCAGGATCAATTATAGAAGTGCTTACAAGAAAACATCTACAAACAGATTCTGCCATTCACATTCATATTAAAGGTGAGCAAAGACTAACTCAGCCTTCTATATGAACATTTTATTTATAGTACAAGCTTTATTATTTAGTTTCTGCCATATAGGTGCCTCAGTTTATTTTCAGAAAATGTCTACTAAATATTTTTAATATTTTATTAACCTAAGAAGACTGAAGGGTGACTTGATAGAAGGATTTAAAATTATGAAAGTTTGGATAGATTAGATGGAGAATATGTCCCCACGACTCAAGTAATCCAACATAGTAGTCATAAATATAAGTTAGTCATTAGTAAATCCAAAAAGAAATTTAAAAGAAATTTATTTTCTCAAAGTGGCTAGAAAGTGGAACTTGCAATCTCTTGCAGTCATTGCGTTAAATGGCATAGTTGGATTTAAGAGGAAGACAGACAAGAGACAAAGGAACAGTAAATGATGCTGATAGATTAACAGGATGTAAGAAGACTGGAGTGAAGCAGAATGACTAGTACAGACTAGCTGGGCAGAAATATCTATTTCTAAGCTCTAAACCTGTGTGTAAAAGATGCAATTTAATATATGACATCACTTCATAGGCTGAAATTTTATTTTTACTACTAATAGCCAGACAAGCTGTAATAATGATTCTTTAGCATTCTTAAGTAGCTAGTGCATCACCATTGGTATAAATCTCAGTGGTTAACAATTTTATTGTGAATTAACTGAATGGCTAGGTATTGAAGCCCATTCCGTAGTGAGCCTGGTTCATTGTATATGAGTCAAAAGTCAAAACCATCTTGGTGGACAGAGATAACTCCCACAACATGACAAGTAGGGTCGTTTCTTGGAGTTAATTATAGCAAGTATGAACTCAATTAATATGGCAGCTTTTCACAATCACCCTGGTAAAATAGTGGCAAAATTGCTTCCTTCTGCCATTCTTTTCCATTTGTGTCTTGTATTCTTGCATCTGTGCTTTATTTATAATTACAAAATAAAGGAAGATCATCTGGCTCATCTTGGTACATCCACCTGGAATAAGGGAAGAATACATGAATTTCCCTATTACAGTATCTGTCTCTAGAATGAATATAAGATTTATTGGCCGACCAAGCTTTCCAGAAAACACCCAAATATCAATCACTGATTACATGAAGAATTTGCTACTGCTATCTGTTCTAAGTTTTCATATCACCAGTTTTCACCTAAACTGCCTTGTTTGTATACTGTTCAACGCATAGACCACTCCTAATCTACCCATTGTGTTTGATCATCCCTTTTATCAATTTGACTACAGTGGTCAGGGAGCTAATGAGAAAGTGGTAGGGATAGGGCTAGAGTCTGTCATGTTTATTGTCTTTCTGAATTGTCTTAGAAAACACAACTTTGTGGGTCTGCTTTCTGATAAACAATATTAAGCACTCACTTTTCTCCAGATTTGCAGTAGTGAAGGATGATATGGTTAGTTGAATGAATAGTGTGTGCTCGCTACAACTACTAAGCAGAGATAAAAATTGGTGATAGAAACAGTGTTGCCTTTGTATTACTGGTAGCACGATAGTTGCGTTCTTGTGTGACCTCGAGCTATAGAAAATTACGTTATAGAAAATTGCGTTACAGAGAAATCGCTATACCTGTACAGCAGAAAGTTTGCATTATCCAAACAGCGTCCACTATTCATCAATTGCGTTACAGCCAATTCGCATTAACGAAATGCATGTTAGAACATAGAGAACATAGAACAGTACAGCACAGTACAGGCCCTTCGGCCCACGATGTTGTGCCGAACTTTTACCCTAAACCTAAGGTCTATCTGACCTCCACCGCTACCTTATACTATCGTCCATATGCCTATCTAATAGCCGCTTAAATGCCCCTAGTGAGGCCAACTCCACTACCCTCTCCAGCAATGCATTCCACGCCCCTACCACTCTCTGAGTAAAGAACCTACCTCTGATGTATCCCCGATATCTACCTCCTTTCACTTTAAAACTATGTCCCCTCGTAAAAGCTACCTCCACCCTAGGAAAAAGTCTCTGGCTGTTTACTCTATCCATACCTCTGATCATTTTGTACACATCTAGCAAGTCACCTCTCATCCTTTGTCGTTTTAAAGAGAAAAGCCGTGGATCTCTCAACCTTTCCTCGTAAGACCTTCCCTCCATTCCAGGCAACATCCTGGTAAATCTCCTCTGCACCTTTTCTAACGCTTCCACATCTTTCCTGTAATGAGGTGACCAGAACTGGTGTTATAGCAGAACTACCTGTAGTATTTATTGACAAAATCTTTTACTATGCTATGCTGTCAGTAAACTTAAACAGCCTTTTTTAATGTTCTAAAGGATCAGTGGATAGGAGTTCGTTTCCTTGTGAAATGTAAATTGGCACAATAGCAGCCTGTTGATACTAGTGCCTGTGTTACTTCTGTGTCATCCTCCAAGACTGAAGGAATTCAGTTGTGTAAACATCTTTCCAAAGAAGATTGAGAGGAAGTTTACTGGACATGCTCAAAATTGAAGAGTTTTGGTAAGATAGAGAGGAAGAAATTGTTTCCAGAAGTAGATGAGTTAATAAGGAGAGGTACCAACTAAGATAATTGGTGAACCAAAAAGCGAAGGGATAGACAAAATGTTTTTTGGTAGATCAATGAGTTTGATGTGCATTGCAATGTCTGAAATGAAGCAAATCCAAAAACAGTTTTCAAAGAGGAATTGGATATATACTTAAAAGCAAAATCTGCAGAGATATGAAGGAGAAGCTTGAGAATGGAATTAATTAGGCAGCACTTGCAGGGAGCTGGCACGGACATGATAGGCCAGACTATCTCTTCTCTGATTCTAAATGGTTGAATCTCAAACAACAAAAACATGGCAATTCTAGGAATGAAAATTCATTGCATAGATGTAGGGAGATTAGTTGGTTATAGATAACTATATTCCATACAACTCACCAGTGGATTGAGTAGCTGCGCACAGTCTCAAAAAGGAACCGTTTTGGTTTACCACTTGCAGGATTAAAACACTCCATTAAACACATATTATCAAGTAACAAATACACTGAATTAATTTAATGTTTATTGCAATTTGTCATTCATTTACCTTCAAGAAAATAAACTTCGCTTTCCAAAGGTAAGAGAATACAAAATCATGTGCTTAATTCCAGGTAATGGCAAGTCAAATCTGAAGTTCAATAATTGTGGTATACAATCATAAAATAGTAACAGCACAGAAGGAGGCCATGTGGCCCATAATGTCTGTGCTGGTGTGTCTGCAAGAGCTAGCCCAAATTCCTTGCTCTGAAATTTTATTCTCCGTTGCTTATTCAATCTCTTTTTGAAAGCCACAATTGAATCTGCCCTTGCCGTGCTTTAGTAGTGCATTCTATTTTCTGATGCCTCACCACATAAATTTTTTCATCATGTCATCTCTGCTCTTTAGCCCTTCCCCTTAAATTGTTGTCTTCTGATTCTCTACCCTGTTACCTATCTACTGATGGAAACAGTTTATTTCCTTCTTCTAAGTCCAGACCCCTCATGATTGTGAAAAGTTCTGTCAGACCCCATCTTCAAAGGGATCAACGCCAACTTCTCCAAACTAATCTCACAACTGAGGTCCCTCACCCTGGAGCCATTCCTGTTAATCCTTCCTGCATCCTATTTAAAACTACCACGTCCATCTTAAAATACAGTGCCCAGAATTGAGCACCATAACTTCTTGAGCCAGAGCAGTACATTTTTTTTACAAAAGTTTCTCACTATCACCTTTGGTTTTGTACTCTTGTGTCTCTATTTATTACAGCTTAGGATTCTGTATGCCATTTTAATCACTTTCTCAATTTGCCCTTTTGCCACCAATGATTTTCGCATATATACTCCCAGGTCTCCCGTAAAATGTCATCCTTTAATTTATATTGTCTCTCATCATTCTTTCTACTAAAATATAACACTTCTTAACTTTCTACATTATATTTCTTTTTCTACAATTTTACCAGCTTCCCTGTGTCTATTGAAATCTATAACTATCCTCCTCATATTTCACAAATTTTGTTCGTTTGCAA